ACCAGATCCACAAACGGTGGAGGGAGACAAAGGAGTCGAGAGAAAGAGCGATGGCAAAGAGGCACCTGCTAAATCAAAAGCAGTACAATACGCACAGCCACCCACTCCAAGAGCTTCAGGTTGGTGAATCTGTGCAGGTACAAAATCAGGAAGGGCCATATCCAAGGCGATGGATGAAAACGGGGAGGGTCGTCGAGACCATGGGCAACAGACAGTACCGCATACGATTGGATGGCAGTGGCAGAATTACACTACGTAATCGTCGATTTATCCGGAAAATCTTCCCGGTAGTAGATATACCTGACTATTCGCCCGAACAATCAACCCCACAACCACCCCAACAGAGACCGAGGACAATTAGTATTGAATCCACTTTGTTATTATTTGTTTATTTTTCTATCACTACAGTTCAGCTTTTAATTGTCTCACAGAAAATGACCCCCGAGGGACATACCGGAAATGATGGAGGTAGATGTGACTGATGATGAGGTGATAGCGGACCAGGACCACACAGATATGGAAGTGGATTGGAAAACCAACACCCATCAAGACCCCTATTTTACGTTGACACGGGATTGGAGAACACGAGAGTTACATGGTCAACTGTACACCATCTCATTTATATATATATCTAAGACCATTGTCCCCACAAATTGAACTGATTTTTTTTAGGGTCCAATTGTTCATGAGTCTACAATTTTGAATATACCACTATTTTTAGAGATGATGAAATTTTGGTCTCCTTGTTATTATTTGCATTTATACAGTTGACAAGAAAAAAATGACCACACAAAAAAATCTAGGTATGTTTGTGGTCATACATTTGGTGTGGTATATTTGGAAGGGATGAAATATAACCCCATGTAGAGGGATACTATGAAGTGGGAAAAAGGGGTCATTGAGCCAGTTAATAGACCAACAGCATGGCTTAGTGCGTTAGCACTGGTGATGAAGAAAAATAGGAAAATGTGGTTCTGTATAGCAAACAGCCACAGCTGATCTTGAATGGGAACCCCACAACAAACGCATATCCTTATAATAAGTGAAAGATTATACCCTGATCCAGAGAAGATAAAGGCTATTAGGAAAATGCCTCATCCAACAGATGTGAACTACCTTGCAAAATTTCTAGCACTTTGCCATCTTACAAAGCCAGATGTCCCATGGATTTGTTCTCAGACATATGAGGAAGCTTTTGAGAAGCTTAAGAGGAGGGTGAACAGAGCACTTGTTCTGGGAGACTATGACCATAACAAACCCCTGGTCATCCACTGTGATGCAAGTGTTGAAGAGTTTAGGAGCCACACTATTTCAAGAAAGCCAACCCCTGGCCTATACCAGTCAAGGCGTTACCAACACAGAAACTTGGTATGCACAGATCAAAAAGGAATTACTGGCAGTGGTCTACACATGTGAACGTTTTCACCAATACACATTTGGTCAGCACATTACTGTTCTGAGTGACCACAGAACTCTTAAAGCCATAATGAAAAAGGACTTGGCTGCAGAATATGTTGATGTGCCTGCAGGGATACAGTGTTATATCATCCAAGAAAAAGGATGTATATTGCAGACACACTTTCAAGGGCCTACATCCATTGTGTCAGCTATGCAAATGAGGAGGATGGTATCTGGGAAGCAGATTACATCCCTGTGACAGAAAGAAAGCTATCCAAGCTGAAAATGGCAGCCAGAAATGACTGATCCTTGCAGCAGTTGATATTAGAAGCATAGTGTTATAGTGGAACACACCTATTCTATAGTTAATAGACTTTCCCACCTATAATAAGTAGTAGTAGTAATAATAATCACGAAGTCACTCAGGAGTTGGTCAGTCAGTCAATGTCGGACGACCATTAGTCGGATACTAAAAGTATCAGCGACCACCACTAGATTTCTCTGCGTCATTACCTATTATATCAAGTTCCTGACGTTTTGTACGTCGAACCTATTTTAGGATCGACTTAGTGAAATACAAGCCTCCACTGTGAAACTACTCTACAACACATAGCCAGATAAAAAATTACATCTCAGCCCAGAAGTGAGGCCGTATTTCAGTTTTCAGCATGAAATGACTGTACAGGATGGGCTGATATTTCAGGATAGCTGTGTGATAGTCCCTTTGAATCAATGAGCAGTTCTAAAGGAAAGACTGCTTTCCTACCATTTAAGAGTGGAAGGTTGCTGCTGAAGAGCACAGGAATGTTTATATTGGCTGAACAGTGATATCAGAGCATACATTGCAAAATGTCTGACATGTCAGAAATATGAAGTGGCAAACTCTGCAGAGCCTCTAATGAAATTCCTGAGAGAATCTGGGCAAAAGTTGAAGTGAACCTCTTCCTATTTGAGGGCAGAGACTATCTCGGTCCAGTTGACTATCTAAACAATTTCTGGGAGATCGATCATTTGCAGTATGGACACCAAGACAGCGATTATGAAAGTGAAGCACCATTTTGCAAGATTTTCCAAGAGATTGTCTCCCAAACCCCATGGACAATGGACCTCAATTTCAGAGCCAGTAGGTTGATGTTTTTGCAAGGAAGTGGTGTTTTACATTAGCAAAGCTAATGGCAAAGTGGAATTGGCATGCAGGCTGATCCATATTTAGTAACATTGGATCACCAAAACAGAAGCTTATGTCAAGGACAACAAAAACTCTTCTACCAACCACAAATGACCTGCTAAAACCAGAAATACCCAGCAATATAAAGCAGGCATTGACTTGAGAAGGTAAGAACTCAATCAGAAGGTCAGATCCTTGTCACCTCTACTTCCAGGAGTGGTTGTCCAGGTGAAACCACATGTAAAGAATGGAAAAGAAGAATAAGTGACCTACCAACTGGATACAAGGTCATACCACATCAACGTTGATGGGGAGCTGTGCTGACAAAACCAGATTGACTTGAAGGAAACAGCAGAGTCCAATCCAATCCAATCCATCTGTGGGGATCCAAGGCAGTCAGCTAGACACTACTTCAGAAAACCAGTCTAAAGCAGCAAATCCAACACCTTCACTAACTTTAAACCGAGACAAAGGGAGGACCCTAAAGACATTTCATCAGGATGATTCAGTGAGGAAAACATGTTCTGAGAGAAGAGTCAGAACACCAACAAGACTAAGAGACTAGTAATGAAAAGAAAGTTGGGTGAATGGGCAGAATAAACCCTGTAAGGCAAGAGGGTAGTCTAGCTAGTGAATGTCTTGCTCATTCCCATTTGAAAAAACAAAACAAAAAAAAGTTTTTTTTTCAAAATTGGAAATATGTTTCATGGGACACTGTTTATGTAGGCTAAGTTGGTCACATGATATAGGGTTGCAGGCAGTTTTGAATTAGCTCGGGCTACTGTGAAGACAAACATGTCAACACGTGTGGTTGAATGCCAGTGGCCATAGCTGATATGGAGCATGGAACATCTGGTTCACTCTGATCAAATAATACTTAGATTTGATGATGAAAAGTCAAGATGGAAGAAGTAAATGAAGAGTAACCTGAGAGGGAGGAAAGTATGCATGTTTTTGATGGTGAAAGCAAACACAGTAGGAAAGAAACTATGGAGGATAGTATGCACAAATCTAACATGGAGTCAGAAGATCAAAATGAAGATGACTCCAGACATGGATACCCAAAGAAATAGGTACACACCTAGAGAGAGAGATAAGATCTACTATAGTTAGAAGTCAAAGATTAATGAAGGTGTAGTGAGATATGCAAAATAGACTTACCCTATTTTGCATAAAGTCAAACAACTACAAATAAGTCAGTTATCAGTTAACATGAGTGACAATTACTTATGTTACAGACTGGAAGACAACACAACAGATTTTTTCATATTTTTTTAATTGTTAATTGATTCAGATTTTTATCTAGCATTTTTTCTCAAATAAGAATCAGCCAAGTAAAAAAAAAAATATTTTTTTCAATATTTCGTCAGGGTTATCCACTGTGCTCCCCACTGTACCAATGACTTTTACCCATTTTAACCATTTATTTTGCATAACAAATATTTATTTTTCAAGATAATTGCTTCCCTTTTCAATGCACTTAACTCGCTAAGTCTCCAGCACCAACACTCCAGAACTCTGCATGTATTTCTTTCTTCTTTATGTGTCATGTCCTCACAGGATATGGGGGATTATGGCTTTCCACAAATTCTTGTCCCTTGTAGCTCTTAATAAAATTGTCTCTCAGTTATTTCTCTTAAGCTCTGTACACCATCAATTAAGTGTGTTATGCATTGTTTTTCATTGTCCCTTTTGCCCTATATCTGTCCTGTGAGTATCAGATTTTCCAAGCCCTCTTTCCTCATTATATGCCCTAAAAACCTCAAGTGTTTCTTCCTGATCTTAAGTATTAGTTTCCATATTCTCCAAAATGAATGTACAGTGTTCATGACAGAATGGTCATCAAATTTCTAGCTACAGAATTTTTCTTTCAACAGAGTAAAAAGATAATCTTTGGAGTGGGTAAAATAACTATTTGAATTTGCATTGAGATGTTACTTACCATTAGAATCTGTTGGATATGCATTGCCCTGGGGCAACAGAATGCCTCTTGAAAGTTTTCCATGTCTTTTATTTTTATTATTTAGTTATTTTTTTCTTCAGTTCACTACTCCATTCCTCTAAGTAATAGTAGTACTGGTAAGTGGCCCACCAATGCAAAGCACAGTCTTTGTCATTCAAACACACTGTCCAATGCAACACAACCTGTTACAACTCAATACCCATCAATTACTTTTTGCAAGCAAGCTTGTCATTCAATGGTCGCCTAAAACATTAATGCTTAATACTCAATTTGAGTTTTATATGTAGTGAAGTCATTTGCATGAGAGACATAAAGATAATTTAGCCAACCATTTCTGCATATTTTTGCCACATACAATACATGCATGCTAATCTTGCCCTTTTTCTTCACTACGTATGGAAAATGATATTTTTCATTACTTATGTTGTCTCTATTAAGTAGAAGTTATATCTCTAATTTCTTTTATTCTAGGCTCTACTTTTGTTATTTTCCATTTTAAGAAGACTGGCTTGGGACTATGGCAGAATTGCTTTGGTCAGTCGGAATGAGGATAAGTAAGTACCTTACACATTCATTTCGAAACTTATTTGCTTCATTTAATTACTAGATATTGAAATGTACTATGCAGAAAATTATATTGTTTTATTTGAAAAAAACTGCCATAAGAAAATTGTAGAGAGAAGTAAAAATATGTACATGTAAATTCCCCATTTCTTTGCCTTGATAAAACTAAAGGAAAAAAATTAACTGAATATGTTAAATATATGATGACTAATAAAAAGTTTGGATTTCTATGAAGCCAATGTTTTTAGGAAACCATTTTCCCATTGCTGCTTGTATGAAATTCATGACGGCTTTTCAAGAAGCAGATAACTTTTGTTCTGATATAAATATTGCTCACCAAATTTTGAATTTATAGGAAGAAACTCAATTTTATCAAATTGAGAAACAGCCACTTTCAGTATATTTACAAACTTATGGTAAAATTGATTATTAAAGTTGAAAGTATTTAAGTGTAAAAAACATTGCAAAAATTTAACAAAGTGTAAAGAAAACTGATGACTTTCATAATTTTAAACTTTTTTAATAAAATTCTTAATTATGCTAATGCATGTAAAATTACTTTAGAAAGTAATCTATTTATATATAAATGGCAATTTCTGTTTGTCTGTATCAAGTTACCACCCAAACAATATTGATAAAACTTTGCATACATGTTAAACTAACATCCAGTTTGTTACTAGGCTAAATGGGACTGCTAGGGACCCTAGATCTCAGCTTGCTGCCAGGTCTATGCAAAACATTGTTTACATGTGTTTAAGCAAGGGAGATAATTAGTCTTGCAAACTTTTTAGAAATTAAGATGCACATGTTACGAAGTAATAATTCTTATAAAGCTCAAAATTCCAGACAGATATGGATCTTTGTTCAATTTAAAAAATTTAGGAGACAACATCTGAATGATTTGCAGGTTATTTTCTAAATAAAATCTTTATTTAACACATTAGTTCAACATAATCTTTCTTTGAATACGATTTCCATGTTGTGTTTACATTGCAAAAATGTGCATCATTAAATTTGCCAGGTTTGAATTTATTCAATACAAAGAAACTGGCTCAATCCATTCAGTCATTTAAACGTAAAATAATATTTAAATTAAGCTTATTTGCAAATAGAAACTTTACCTAAGCTCATATTCCACCTACCCATAAAAAGGCATATGTTGTGGTTGTCTGTCTGGAATGGACTGTTTGAACACCTGGATAAAAAACCATATGGATAAAAAAAAAATATCTAGCTGTGGAAATAGACATCCTTCTTAAAAAAAAAAAATAAAACGTCCTTAATTGGCATGAGCCATGTACCCTTCCCCATTAAGTTTTACTTTTTTGAGGGTTTAATTAGATGGGAAAGAAAATGCTGTAAGAAATTTAATAAAGAATTGGGACCTTTCACTCCATTCAATATTAAACTCTCTATATATAATCTATTAGTTGGGCAGATATATTTCTTCTAATGAGACAATGTGGCACATTCTGGGCTTTGAAATACATAATCAGCATCCAACAGTGGTGAATCTAGCTGTTCATCTTAAAAATGGTCAGAGAAGATACTGCTTGAAATCATTTTCACAGAAACCCTGATCTGTTTCTATATAATGGAGAAGATCTAGGTACAAACAAGGAGCACAAGTTGAGGGCTGAGAAGAAAATGCTGTCTTCAAACCATGGACTACACTGTGCAACCCAATCAGAGGAGTGATGCCCACTGGGACCAGACACTGGATCTGCAAAGATATAATGGAGAAATCTGTACAACCTAAGCCTGCGTCAAACATGGACTACTGGAGACCAGACACTGGTTGAGGCAGCAGTCAGCAATCAGCAGAGCACCAAGCCAAATGTGCCAGCTATTTTCCATCATGTTGATGACATGTGGCTTTAGCGAACCTCTCAAGCTTTGGGTGAACCACAAAACCAGCATGGCAGAGGACATCCTACGAAGGATTCAAAGGCAAACCTCAGCAGACATTATCATATTCAATGATGCCATTTACAATGTAGTTGACCTGGACACCTAAGTGAAAGCTATGGGAGGCCAAGGAATTGCCACATTTAGTCTACCTCAATCAGAGTAGGCAGCAAACAATCTTGCAGTTGAGTACATGTGGGAGATCAGCTATGACACTGAGGAAATGATGGCATATGTAGCTGATAATGAACACAAACTGATGGAGGACCAAATGGGTGTTTATAACACAATTATTTTCAGCATTGAAGGTAAAAGAAGAGATATATTCTTCCTCGATGCCTAAAGGTGCTTCAAACTTTGGTCTAAGAAAGACATTTATCATCAACATCAGTCCTGTTCTATAAAAGGCAAACCAAATGAAATTGATCATTGGGATGTAACAAGACCCATAAGGGTTCATCAAGTGGAATAGCTTCAGGATCTTAAACTAAGTGGTGATTCCAAAAAAGAAAAAGAGCTGACCATAAATACCAGTTCAAACTTTCCTACCTTTGAGCCCTGTCCAAAGAAAGACTTTAAGAAAAACCTGAGACTCACAAACATCAGAGAGTGCAGTTCAGTGATGAAAAGGCAAACTATTGGATGTTGATTGCAAATTGATCATCTGGGATGATGGTATCTGATTTAAATGAGCCATAGGGTGTTTCCTAACCTGAGGAATCAATTTTGACACTGAGGCCATTTTATCTCCAAAGAATTGGCAGGATAATTTGAACATCAACTTCTGGAACAGTTGTCAGGTGAGCATGGGAGGTACAATTCCATTGAGTCTTGAAGCTTGAATTATCCAGTTGAGATTTTTTAGCCTAACACTAACCCTTCCAGTGATTTGCATCTGAAAATTGGAAAGTAATGGACAAGAAACCTGATTCCCTGACTTTAAAGCACACAACTTACAAAAGATGATACCAACAATTTTAGAGGTGACCTGTGGAGCGATGAGTGTATTTATTACTAAAAACTCATTGATAACTCAGTTCAACCAACAGTGAAACTGAGTTTTGCAGCTCAGCTCAGGTGCAGTCCTTGATGAGGAATCTTGCAGAACTTTTCTCTCATAGCCAACTTTATTGGAATGTTGGTCAGCAATCTCAATCATTTGTTTATTTATACCCCACATGGAAAGACTGAAAAATGTTTATCAAGAGGCTCTGCAATCTTGATAAGAAACATCCAATCATCAAATGTTTATGATTTTGTACTATCAATGGTATCTTTGTTAATCTTTAAATTTGTAAACTAATAAATCTATTTGCAGGTCTATTTGAAACTATACCTATTTGTAAAAGGAATAAGTTTATTTTAAGACTAGCCAACTAAGAGCTGAGAACCCGTGCCATTTTAGGGTTCCAAAGAATGTTACAGATTGATTTGCCTGTTATTACATAAATTGATTTGAACATCAAATGATTTTGGAACATTGGTTCCCAAAATCGGTGAGTTGGGCATTCTCAGATACTTACTTTGAATTCGGATTGAAGAAAGAATATAAAAATGGAAACTGGGGATAACAGCCTTGTGAATTATCCTAGTTTAGTAATAAAGGATGATGTTAAAATCTGAAACCAACACGTATTTATATGCTAAATGTCACAACCCCATATCTCAAACTAAAGATGCTTGATCTTTGTTTGACAAAATAAAACTTTCTATAGAAATTTGACTTATTCTTTGAATTTATCTTGTTTTTGACTGAATACCAAAGTAACATTTGGTAATATCAGACTTGCCAAATAATTAATTGATGTAAAGACCTTAAGTAGTCCTCTAAAAAAATGACTGGTTTTGTAGATACTATAGATAAATTCAATGAAATTTGCTGTGTGATTTTTAAAAAAGAAATATAAATGTATGTTCATTTATAATAAAGTGGTTCATCCTATTTCTCAAGATGATTTTTGAAACCCCAGTATTTTGTTTGTAAAAGTATATAACTGGCCTTGTGGCTATTTTGAGCTATACACTTTTTTCTCAACAGATTTAATCCACACTAGAGATTGAATAAATTTAACTTTTATTGCAGATTCAAATCAGAAATTTTAACTTCAATTCTCTGGTATTTATTATAGTTCAACAATAAAGCATTTTTTTGAAAGCTGAGATTTAATGTTTATCATTGTTAACCTTGTTACAATAATTCTTGTGACTTGGTAAAAGAAAACCTTTTACTATAAAAATGTCTAGTTTGTATACAATTTGGCACATGTAAATAATTAATTCTTTGCTGTTAGTAAATGCCTGTCATCATAATGTAATGAACATGGAAATAAATAGTTTCAGTTACTGCTGCTGAAGCATACAATTAATGCTTACCATGCTCTATTATTTCAAGCAGTAAAGATAAACATTAGGTTTAAGAATATTTATTGATTAAAAACTAGAAAAATATTTACCTGCTGTACAATGAGAAATGGGATATAAACAATGAATTTTTCATTTTGTATTGATTTTTTTCACTTTATAGGCTTATACTCTCAAAATAAACACTGTCAATGTTTATAGTGAAAATATTCTATTTAATATTATGAAAATATTCATGTCCTAATTTGAGAGCAATGGTAATAATGGCTGCACCTATTTTGTAAAATCTTTTATAGATAACATTGATAATAAAATGTTCAAGGACTTATGAAGTTAATTTTTTTTTTTTAATTAATTCCAGAGAATTATGGTGATATTTATGATGCTGTTATATCATTCAATATGTCTATGCATGGACAAAATGTAAATTTTAGTTTAAAATATAGAGGCATATAAATAATATCAGAAAATGTTTTTCTTCCTTCACTACATACACACCTGTGGTGAAAGTAACTATAGTTGTCTCTCTCTCTCTCTCTCTCTCTGGAACTACTCTACTATAAAAAGTATTAGTTGAACTTCACATATTTTGTTGAATAAAGCTTCATTACAAACTTAAAAGTTTATCTTTCTTTCTTTAGAATTTATTCAATGTAATTAGACAAATATCTGAAGCCTCAGTGCTTAGACCTAGATGCATTTAGCTCAGATACTACTTATA